ACACACACACACAATGCGCAAAACTCCGCATTTGAACAGACAATACTTAAACTAATAACAAAACAATAGCTGATTCAGAAGTTCCAGATTGTCATAGCAAAGTCAGAATGACCTCCTCTCCTAGGTTCACGAAACGGTCGTCCATAAAATGCATTGCTGTTCTGTTGTAAGTAATCTTAAAGATTCCTAAATGCATCTACTTCTGGAAGGCCAAATAAAGTGCTTTTGCTTTCGCCTAGAAACACACAGCGTCTCTCTGACATGCTGCTTCAACACTAACTGCGGTTACTGAAACCACACCTTCTTTCTTTGCGCGCACATTTGTGCCGCATTATGCAAATATTTCCACACAGTGAGGTAGATATGTGGGGGCGTGTTAGAACGAGCCGTTTTAGGCGGGCATGGCAGAGTCTTAACTTTGATAAAGAATATCTCTTTGGTTTTGAGACTTTAGTCTTTGCAACTTCAGGGATCTTATCTATGCACAATCAGCTTGTAACACTCCAACGAGAAAGGAAAACTTGAAATAGCATCATATGACCCCCTTAAAGTAAATGGACTGCATGTATTTGTGCAGCATGGAATTTGCAGCCAAATGTAATGCAAAAAAAAAATAAATTAGTTATAGCATTTGGTGCACAAAAACGTTAATAGTGTACACCAGTTGCATTTGGTGCACAAAAACATGGTTATTGCATTTAGCACACAAAAAATTCATTTGCAACCAAATTTAATGCAAAAAAATTTAGTTCTAGCATTTGGTGCTCAAAATGAGTTATTGCAGTTAATGCACAAAAACGTTAATAGTGTACGTCAGTTGCATTTGGTGCACAAAAAATGGTTATTGCATTTTGCACACAAAAAATGTATTTGCAACCAAATTTAATGCAAAAAAAAAATTAGTTCTAGCATTTGGTGCACAAAATTAGTTATTGCAGTTAATGCACAAAAACATTAATAGTGTACACCAGTTGCATTTAGCACACAAATTAATTTGCAACCAAATTTAATGCAAAAAAGAAATTAGTTATAGCATTTGGTGCACAAAATTAGTTATTGCAGTTAATGCACAAAAACATTAATAGTGTACACCAGTTGCATTTAGCACACAAATTAATTTGCAACCAAATTTAATGCAAAAAAGAAATTAGTTATAGCATTTGGTGCACAAAATTAGTTATTGCAGTTAATGCACAAAA